CTCCCGGCCCCCCCCTCAACTCTCTGGGCTCCCCCCCCTCAACTCTCCGGGCTCCCCCTCATCTCTCTGGGCTCCCCCTCATCTCTCCGGGCTTCCCTTCATCTCTCTGGGCTTCCCTTCATCTCTCTGGGCTCCCCATCATCTCTCCGGGCTTCCCTTCATCTCTCTGGGCTTCCCCTCATCTCTCATCACTTGCCTACATACACCCCACCTTCTCGAAACATATAATTTCCTGGAGTTTCAAACCTATCAAGTCTCACCTGCCTCTTGTCCTGACACCTGCCCAGAATGCCCTTCCTCCTTTCCATCTTTCACTCTGCCTGGCCTCCTAGCTTTGAAGACTTAGTTCAGGCATCACTTCAACAAAGATTCCTGAACACCTTCCCAAAAAGTTCTTTGTGAAAGTACTTTTATTCCTGGTCACTCCAACAAGGAGCGACCAATCATGTAACATGCTACTAATATAGCAAGTGAGATTAGGACCAAGACCCCTGACCATAGGATTTAACAACATTGGTGACCCTTGTCAAGGACACTTTTGGTGATTTTGGGGAAATGTCTCACTCAGACCAAATGTCTCTTCCTTAACCAATCTGGTCTTCAGTTTCATCAAATGTAAACTCAGGCCTTTAAGTATTTGGGCTAGAATTAAATGGGAGAAAAATATTAAACTACCCATTTTAGTTCCTGATACATAGTTGAAATGTATCAATAATGTTAATTTCTTATTTGCTCTAGAGTCTTTTACTTAATTACTTTCAAACAGCATGAAGCAATAGCACATGGAATCCCAATTCTATACCCATCTCTAAAATTTGATAAACTTACCTGACATTAACATGTTACATAATGAATGGACTAAAGCATGAGTTCTTATCAGGACAGTGTAAGACATGTTTACACAGATAACTACATGCTAATATCAACAATAACAGCACCAAAATTTCTCAATAGAAATTTGAAAAAACCTTGACTTTTGGTTAAGTCTGTACAGTACCTACCCTGAGTGGAAAATTTAAAGGCCGGCGATAAGGCTGAAAGCCAACAGGCCCTCCCTGCTGGAGTATGGCTTGGTGGGCTGCATGCAGGCCTTCACCCACCACAGGAATAGCGTTGTTATTTCGAGCATGCTGGTTATTGTTAACTTGTTGGTTTGCACTGTTCTCATTTTCTTCCTGGTCTCCCAATAAATAGGAATGAAGATCCCTATGGAAAAATTACATCAGTAACAATTCTCACTTCAGGATCAGAGTAAATAGCAGACACGAGAATTACTTTCTTAATACTAATTATTATCTAGGGTAGAAAATGTACAAGCAGAATCTGTACACAGTACTATCACCTCAATTTGGTCTAAATGTTGGTGCCCACTTTAAATTAAACCTTTCCAAATTTCATGTTAATTAGTATACAGAATATCCCATAAATTAAATTTATTTTGTTTTCTTCAGCCAGTATCTGAGAAGAAATCATAACTGGAAAAAAAATAAAAGTACAATACACAAGATACTCTATGTGAACATCTTAAGGAACAACTTCTTTTCCTCTCTATAGATGGCTACTGTCTATGCCACGACATGTATTCTCAACTAAAACCTCCAATCCAGATTATTTAAGGCAAAAATGAGTTAGGAGGAGGCAGCTCAGGGCAAAGCACAGGGCAGTTAGAAAAAGATAAATGATCACATACAGCCAAATACATATGCCACATTAAGGTATCAACAGAATGCCATATATTTTCTGGAAAAAAAAATGATTTCAATCACAAAGATTCAACTTTTAAATGAGTACATAACATATAAAGCTTTAAAAAAATAAATGCAACAATGCTGACTAAATAAATGACCAAAAACCTAAATCTGAGAAGAGCTCATATCAGGTTAAGACTTTTAAAATAAGGGTATGTTGATTTGTTTTTAATGCACTAAAAAAATTTTTTTTTTTACCCTGTGTATGAAATGAACCTGGGCCAGCAGCAAACTTCTGTAAGAGAATAAGAATATGCATACATGCTCCATAAAATAATGCACAATGATTAAAATTTTTTTGTCATTAAAAATTTTTAGAAGTATTATATATACCTGCAGATATCACTAAATTATCTCTTTTTAAAACTAATTTTTCCTGAGTGAGACATGAAACGTACTTTTTAAGAAAGGTCATTAATCGATATATAATATGCCTACGAGTCATCTGCCTGTACTTACAGCAAGTATCCAGCAGTAACGGTCCATGCTCGCACAAGCCCCTTCAGCCACTGCCGTGTGTGTCCCTGTTCAAGTAACGCTGGCAAGACAACCTGAAGCAGAAGCAGCTCAAGGGACAGTTCACTCACCGGAGCATCACTAAGGTAATTACAAAGAGCCATAATCATAATGTGAGCTCTATTTTCCATTATAACTATATCATATTAAACATTTAAAGAGATGACAGTAGAACTCCTTAAAGAGTTGAATGAACCCACTCTAGTCTTTATCGCCTCTCCTCCATTCTTTCTCGAGGCCAGCAAGGCTTCCCCTCAAACTCCACAAAACTTCCTTACAAATGTTACCAATGACCTTCGTGTGGTTAAATCTGACGGTGAGGTCTTAGTCCTCACCTCACATGTTATATTAATAGCAGATTATATGACTGACCACTCATTACTCAACACAAAATTCCTTACAATATGTTTTTATTGATTTTTTTTGAGAGGGGGGGGGAAGGGAGAAGGAGAGAGAAAAACATTGATGTGAGAAACATTGATCAGCTGCCTCCTGCATGCCCCCTACTGGGGATTGAGTATGCATCCTGGGTACAAGCCCTGACTTCAGTATCACATGCCCTGACCTTAGTACTGAATGGGTGCATAGGACTAGCTCAACCAACTGAGCCATACCAGCCAGGGCTGAACACACCTTCTTGAATGCCTTGGCTCCCCTACATCATCCCGACCAGGATATTGTCATGTAGATTATAGAGGAAGGGAGGAGTGGTGTTAAGAATCCTATTAATAAAAGCCTAATATGCTGTGTCCAACCATTCGTTCGACCGTTCAACCAGTCACTATAACACACACTGACCACCAGAGGCAGACGCTCCAACTGGTAGGTTAGCTTGCCGGTGGGGTCTGGCTGATTGGGACTGGGCCGGACACGCCCTGGAGCCCTCTCTCAGTCCCCGCAACCGGCCCAATCGGGACTAGGGAGACAGGCCAGACATGCCCTGGAGCCAATCTCCCGCGGTCCCTCCCCGGACTCTAAAATATTTCCTCTAATTAATTTCCTTTCAATGTGCATGAATTCATGCACCGGGCCTCTAGTGGATTATAAATGGAGAACAAGAGGAAGGTCTAAACTAAAGTAGTAAGTGGTAAATAGAGTTGGAATAGATAAGATCTTAAAGAATTAGAAATGACAAGATTTAAAGGGTAATTAAAAGCAAAACTGAGAAAGAAATAAAATTTGCCAGGCAGATTTCTGCTTTAGGTGACTGAAGGGGTAATGTAAACAATGTAGGAGGAATGAGAGACTAGGTTTCCAGGTGACTTCAGTTTATAAATTGAAGATTTTCCATCTATAAGCTTTACATCCTATTTTTAATCCATAATTAAATGTGCAACTATGGCTACATTCCTTATGAAATGCTTTTCATACAAAGATAATGCTACTAACCCACTCTCCTTAGATATGGCAAACATTTAAATGCTGAACAAAGGCAAACTCCATATGCAGAAAAATGGCTCTTTGTAATTACCTTAGTAATGCTCCGGTAAGAAATATATGTTTTAAATGTATGTATTCTTAATATCAAATCCCCAACAGAGCTAAATTAGAAAAGCTTCTGAATTTCAAAAACTTACCTGTAGAGCATGACATTGTATGGCAGAAAATTAGGCAGCAGACTCTTAATTATACGTATAGGAAGCCAAAGCATCAGAAGGACAATGGAGCCAAAGACAATCTGCAGTAAGAAAAAGGGCATGACACCATTTAAAACCACTCCCGTGAGACACAGGCTGACTTCTGAACATATTCAACCAATATGCAGCCCAAGTCTATACCACCCAGGGCCCGGAGTGTTCTCACTCAACACACTATACTTAGATCATTCTATATAAAGAATGCATTCCTGAGATGGCTATTCCTCTTCTCTCTCTAGGACACAAGGACTCAAACAGGAGCCACAAAGGATAATCACTGCATGGTATGTAAGGAGAGCTGGAACCTGACAATGAAGGATTGGAATAATAAATCACCTGTAATCATTATAAGACATGACCCATATTAATGGCTACAAAAGTTTCCAAAGAGCACAATATTACTATTAGAATTTTATTTTGGAAAAATTTAGATTTAACTAGGTAATTTCCTCTTCTAGGTGGGGAAGAAACTATGAGATCCTCTGTTAAGAGTTTAATTTAGAAGCTATAAACAAGTCTCCATTGATTTAATGCAAATTAATTGTAATTCAGAAACTCATAATTTGGCAATCAACTATACTGCTAAAGTAATAGAAGGCATTTTTGTTTTAGTAGACATGTTATTTACTTTGTCAAAGTAACCAATAAAACTCCTACTTAACAACTAAGTTCCACAGGCTTAAACGTAAGTTACTCAATCTACTGTACCAGTACCCCTGACCAAAAATCTAAAGGGTAGTACACCTTACTTCAAAAACAATATAAAGGTATACTTACCACTGACAAAATAAATCTTCGGAGATGCCTATAAATGGGCAAATGGATCATTTCTTGTACTGGATTAAAATCTGGATCGTTCAAATTCCTTAGAAACCACAAGACACCAGGTCGAAGTACCTACAAATACATTTTAAATGCTATAAATACTTACTAATGTCTTTAGGGCTCTGCATATGAGCTAAAACATTAACAGAAAAATAAGTTTGTGAAAAAAATGGGCCCCAGAAAATTCATATATGGCTTTCCTGGGAAAATAAGTTCCTAAATCAGAATCTTTATGAAAACTATCCTGTGACTGATATCCTTTGATGCTTTTAATCAATTAATGATAAATAAATGTATTAATGGACAGTTTGTCATATCTAGATCTCTTAAATGAGAAATATTGTTTTGAAAATTGTTGGTCCTGGTTAAGTAAGTAGCTCAGTTGGTTAGAACGTCGCCCCAATACACCAAGTTTCAGGTTCAATCCCCGGTCAGGGCACATATAAGAATCAACCAATGAATGCATAAATAAGTGGAACAATAAATTGATGTTTCTCTCTATCCCTCTCTCTCAAATGAAATTTTTTTTAAAATGAAAATTGTCACTATATTGTATCATCTGGTGAAAGAATTAGGTTGTGCCCTAACCAGTTTGGCTCAGTGGATAGAGCGTCGGCCTGCAGAGTGAAGGGTCCCAGGTTCGATTCCAGTCAAGGGCATATACCTTGGCTGCGGGCACATCCCCAGTAGGGGG